CAGCACGCTTAGTTCTATTTCTGTCAACTGCCTAGACGATAGGTTGTGTACCTGTCTGCAATACCCCATGGACTGAAACCCACAGAAATGGCGTCTGTGATTGTCTACTGAGTAGTTTGTCTTCATGCAGATATAACCATCAGCAGGGAAAGTACCATAGACTAAATAAAATCTATTGTTGAAATTTTGACGACAAAGGAAAGCAAAATGACAATCCCTGGCTCATTTGTTATTTCACGTCAACTACTTCTGCGTGTGATACTATATAAATACACGACCCCTCTCCATCAGCTACGCTTCGGAATATTCAAAATCACTTTGAAGTACTCCCCAGTAAGCTAGTCTGATGGCGAGTTTGGTAAGCTCCCTCTAGTCTTACTCAGTTTATTAGCAGCCGGCAGCTAGCACAAAACGCCAGCGCTATCTCCTCTCGTTATCTGCTATTCCCTATATGGAGACTGAATTTTGAAAATCGCGTCTCCTGTCTCGCCGTACATGAAGACCCCAGAGAAAAGGATATCCAGCAACATGAGGTCAGAAATGTGAATCACACATTTCGCAGAGTAAGACGCTAAAGTTTTATGGTTAAATACTCAGGATGGGCAAGAAAAGTGCAACTTTCCGCGCAGGGCAACTGACCCTGGAGTCCCAAGTGGCTAATGTTTGTGGTCTACTTCCCTTATCATCGTCTGAGTGAAGATGGAGTCTAAGTTATGAGACCTGTAGAATGCTGTAGAATGCTCACTTTCCGAATGAATGAAAAAGTTCGCGTTCCAGGTATCTGCATAGATAAGGAAGAAGACATGTCGAGCACCGGATCTTTAAACAAGGACAGGTACTTTACACAGGGACAATATGCGTAATTTAATGAACACCAAAACGCGATGAACATTCACGGCCATACGTAAGTGTGCTATAGGTCGTCAATACAGGGCGAGATCCTGCTTAACAGACTCCTTCAGCGGAAGTTTGAAAGGCTTAATACGCGTCTCTTGCCTATGATACTAACAACCCTTCGACAGCCAACCTAGACATTTTGCCAAGCTAAAGGGGATAAAAATAAACACCTCGCTGAGTACTTCTGTTAAAGGATTGGCCTTGCCGCGCAGGCTTTTCGGAAAGATGTGTAATTGCTGATAGGGAAGGTTGCTCTTAAAGGAATCCGATAAAAGGAAGGAAGAAGGGGAGGAGGAGGACGAAGAATGGAGAAAGCAGAATTATGTCTGTTCAAAGGTCGATGCCGTCTGCGTTCATTGCCTCGGGCCATAATCAGCTAATTTACGGCTCTTTCGCACCCGATTTTCATTTTGACTTTGATTCTCTATTCCTAATACTTGCTTTGAATTCTCTGAGATGTTTCTTAGTAGCAATCATTTTAACATACGCGCACAATGCTGCTACCGTCGCGGTGGACTTCCGTTTCGTGAATAAGCAGTCGATCGATAGAAGATATGTGGCTGCACGAGCCCAAAACCTGCATAACAGGGCATTATGGTCACCCGCTGTCCTTGTTTTGTGGGAATTTTCAGCTTGGTGGCGCAGGAAACGACAGGAAATGTAAAATACGATCGCAGTGTATTCAAATGCACACTGCAAAACAAATACATCCTTTTCAAAAATGCGTTCGAGACGACTTTGTTGTCGTTGTTGTTACCTTTGTTGTTGCTGATGCCGCTAATGATTATGACAATGAGGAGGAGGCTACAGATGCAGGGTGGTGGTGGTGGTCATGGCGATGGCTGTGGTCTTCATTTTGATAATGGTTATGCTGTTGTTGTTGTTGTTGTTGAGGATGATGATGATGATGATGATGATGATGATGATGATGATGATGAGGAGGAGGAGGAGGAGGAGGAGGAGGAGGAGTAATCAAACACTTCGTACTAGTAGAGGCCTTGAACTCTGCTTTCAAGTCTCTAAAGTAAGGTCAACAGCATTGGAACTTCTGCTTCAAATACGTGTCTAGAAATTGCCTCGGCAGGAGTAGTCAGACGCATTTAAAGTTTAGCGTTCAGTCCTCAAGACGACAGATGTAATTAATAAGAATACTGGCAACCAGTTTCTGCTGATGACAAACGTGCATTCGTATCTTTTCCTGGGACCAGTTGTCACACCCCTACCCACCAAAATTAGTTCACAGTGTCTTGTGGGTGTCAGACAGCAGCATAGGAGATAAGGTTGAAACACTATGCGTCCATGGAAATTAAAGTGAAATGAGCAGCTACCACTCCGCAAATTTAAGATCTTTCTGCTCTCCCTCAATCTTGTTGACACAATCTCAAACAGTGCGATTGGGCGTGCGTCCATTAAATATAACAACGAAGGATTTCCCCTATCAATCCTAGGGTATTGGGAAGCCAAAGGCCAAACTGGGAGGGGGGAGAGTGGAGGGGTGTAACGGACAAGACTAGGGAACCAGCGAGTTTTCTGCTGAAGCACTCCAGAACCGGCAGATGCCGTACGAATTTTGTCTGCATTCAGTCCAAGCAGATTCTTTCCGCAGATACTCAAAACAGGAGGGCGTGTTTTCGCCTGCCAGACCTTCTGATAAACTGTTTCTGCCTCCATCGTCCGCGGAGGCAAGGAAGCGACACTCGCGTCGCACGCGATTCGATTCGGGCTGCCACCCATCAACAATGCAACGAGAGGGATAATTATAGGGTAGCTTTTATCAGGGCACCTCACGCAAAAAAAAACAAATGCATGCACATAAAAGACAAGGCACTGGAAGAGTGCTGAGGACTCGGTCCCGTCCAACATTTTGTCGCTAATGGCCAAAACCCACCTCCCAGCTCCACTACACGCGTTCGTACGTGGTTGGCGAAGCCTCACCGAATTGTCTAGACATACTTCAACCTTCCTTTTGCCTACCTGTAGGCACGCAACCCAGAAAAAGAGGGTAGATAAAAATCAGCTGAAGGAAAAAAAAACAAAAGAGCAAAAGTGTCTAAAGCAGAAATGAAACTCAAAATGGAAAGAATGTACACAGGGAAATCGGCGCACTGGCAGGTCCGGTTATGCTAATATATATAGCCTACACGGCTTTTAGATGGTCTGGATATCCGTTTGAGGTGAGCTTTGTCACTTAGGAGCAGTTTCATTGTATTTTCTAGTCGCAGGGATAAAAAAGGATAAGTATTACGTCGCTAAAATAAGAAATCGTAAGAAGGGGTGGGTGACATAATTTGCTCCTGACCTGACCTCCGTCAGTTGACTGCTCAATATTGCAAATTTTGGATCGATTTTCAAAAGGTCTGTTCCTTGTCAGCCTAATAGGTTCCGCAACATTCAGTGGTCGATCGTAAAAACACGACTTTTTTACCTAGAAGCAGACGCATAGCCATAATAACCCAAGTTGTACGCTCTGTTTAATGAGAATTAACTGAAGCTTGATTTTGTGAAGCAACCAAGGTGCATACATAGGGAGCTTAAATTTATACCTTCCCCCCCCATCTTAGTGTTTGATGTTTTGAATCCTCCATCTATGGCCAAGTGGAAATGGCGCTTTACTTTCCGCTGCTGGGAAGGCGACGCCCGGTTATTATTTAGGACAGTCTCTGAGATTTGTGCTTAGTTGGCGCGGAGTGGATTCCTTAGAATGAAAAATATTCAAAGTTCTGAAGAGTAGTAATTACAGTTGACTTATGCCACCGATAAAGACGTGGTGCACTACAGTAGTCACTCACCGATCTGACCGTGGTCATCAGTTAATAATATTCCACTCCAGTTACTCGCACACACGAGATGAGACTAGTGAGCAAGTGGGCCGTTGAGCATTAAAAATTCAACGCCGTTGCGAGGTCGTTCCAGTCGCTCCAGGTCGCTCTCAAGGAAAGATCGACAACACGGTTCTCACCCTGGACCCTCTAATGAACAAGACTATACTCTAACCATCATACCGATGAGTGCGTGGTAAAAGAAAATAACGCCAGTGTGAAATAAGTGCAAATACACTAAGACCGGAGGGAGTTTACCAAATTCGCCATCAGGCAAGGCTACTGAGGATAACTCGCAAGTGACTTTGAATGCTCCTAAGTGTAGCTGATGGAAAGTAGTCGCGCATTTATGTATAATCACCTGTCAACTTTTTCAACGTGAAATGACAAATGAACCAGAGATTTTCACTTCTTTTTCCCTTGTCCTTAAACCTTCTTGGATAGATCATGTACAGCCAATGATATTTTCACTGCGAATGTTTATATTGGCATGCAGAAAAACTACTCATTAGGTAATTATATACGTCATTTTTTTAGATTTTACCAATAGGATATCGCACCTGTGTATGTCTAGTGATACCAACGATATTGAGGACAATGTGAACCTTATTAATGGCGGTTCATTTGAGCAGGGTGGAGGCCTGCGCTAAACCGTGTTTGCTTCCAAAGCGAGACAGGGCTCTAAACAACTGACTGACTACTCAGGGAATCCTGCTTGGCCTATTGGTTTACTGTATCAAACTTGATGGATTTTCTAAGCTACAGTAGGCTGTGTGAGTAATTTAACCCAAATGTGATTAAGCTCACGGCTCCCAGCGGGACGAAGTAGCTCAGATAGTAAGAACATTAGCTGTACATAAGCCTCCCACTTGTTGTCGTGGGGTCGAAGCAACATAGATCTTTCGAAACTGTCAAAAACATATACTGAAGTCCAAATAGTTAGTCATGGATCGGTTATGTTTTAAGATGGAAGCAGGAATTCCAGGACATTTGAACGCAGCCCTTCGTAACCTGCGGCCAGATCTGCGTGACGGTTCATAATGCTGGCGTCGAAGTACCGGGTCTCAAAAGACCCGGTTCGTGTTGGTCATGGTAAGTGGCATTCCAGCCGAAGTGGTGGTTACATTGAAGTGAGTGCGCAAAAAATGCGAAGCATAAGCTAATCGCGTACAGCGAAATGGTATACATTGATACGAGTCCCCAGACGTCGTCGTTTTTGGAAAACGTTCACCTAGGAGACATTCATAAGTAATATACAGTAGGTTCAACTCCATTGTTCTTAACAACCAGATCCTACTGTGTGCAAAGAGAACGCTCCTTTGCGAAGTATGCAGAACTTAAACGGAATTAGAGGTCGTACACATTCTTAGACGTTTCTTTCATATTTGACAGCGTGTTGATGCCCCCCATTTCAACAATCTTGTGAACACCTCAATTAGTAAGAGCCGCCTCTTTGTGCTTGTAGCCACTGGAAAGGTACACCACGTCTTCCCCACAATATTCGTGTATATATATAAATCTGCATGATCAGCTTTTTTAATGTTGTTTTATTTTTCTTCACCTTTCCCTCCTCCAGTGGCCCCCAAAACACCAACTATTCGCGTGGAATCGAAGAGAGATGACTTGATCGAAGGCGACATATTGAAGCTCAAGTGTGAAGCAGAGGACGGTGAACCAGATGGAACTCTGACTTGGCTCAAAGGTATTTCTACCTTTTTGGCTGCAACTTCGTAACAATTGAAGTATTTGCACTAATTAAGCTGCCGGGGAACTATGGAAAGAGAAATATGTTAGGCACATAGAAGAGTCAAGTCTCCAAAACTGCAGCATAACCGTGTGGGTTCTAAAGGAAGCCCACAAATCTGCACATTTACTATTTAGTCAGAGTTATAGCTGGACTGATTTGCACTAAACTGTCTGATTGCACTTCATACTTGGTCCATTTTATGTCGTATTGAGTACATAGCGTTAACCGACTATGTAAGATTACACTGAAACTTAATAAATCTTGTTTGATTAATAAACTATGCTGAGTCGTCACTTATTTAAGCATACATTTTGTACTATTTGGCTTCAAGTCCCTTGTCCAAATTAAAGGAAGTTTTGAAAATGATGCTTCCCCTGCACAGTCCTATACGGCGATTGATATTTGGCTGTCCTACACAATGAAGTATTCAAACTTCCTCGATATTTGTTCGAGAAGCAGAAAATGTGTGTTTTGGTATATGTTAATAATTCATTTGACCCACTTATGAAGGACGGTGTCGCTGAGATTCTAACTCGCGACAGCATTGTAAGGTATGCATACAGCCAACACTCAAACCACCTGATTTATGAGGCTCGACCGTAAGCCGCGCGTTTATGACCATTTGGGTCAAGTTACACGTCCATTTTGCCGGAGCTAGATCCAATGAGAATCATATAGTTCACTCTAATTATTCTATTATTTCTCCATGTAAATACAGGGGATTCTTAACTACTGATCGCATGGTAACGTTTTT